GTGTTTAATTTGCTAACTCTGCCAAACGTCTATCGCTATTGAAGTTACAAAATATTTATCACAGACGGGAAAAACGCCACTGTTGTTACATTTAGTGGGCTACCCTAAAAGTAAACTGAGTTTTATAGTGGACTAGTAACAACCAGTGATTAAAAACCAAATGTTAGCTGACGCATTCAGAGAGCTAGCGCAGAACAGACAGTTCAGTTTCAGAAGTTGCAGACTCAACCTTTCACTGAAATGTAAAGCTACCAGCAAGTTTTTTTTAAAGACAACCTATGAATGTAAGAGAATGTGTTCTTGAAATATTTAGATTTTTTCCATGTTAAAGTCTTGAATTCTTGAAAGCATGTGATTTCTAGAAGCAGATGGCTTTCTAAAGATGGCTATTGAGATACTTCATCTAGTAATATTTGTAGCAATAAAAATAATGTGACTACGTTTTAAAAATTAAAACTGACGTAGTATTTTTTATTCTTCTAACTGCTAAACTTGGAATTAGTAAGATAGAAACAGGAAACCCTTCAGGTGATAGGAAGTACCTCCTGGCGTGCCCCAGTTCTGCAAACTGATTAGTACTGCAATGGGGCCAGGATCCCTGGCTGCCCAACTTTTGTCCCACCACTGCAAGCAGCACATGCTACACAAGGAAAATATAAGAAATTGGTAGAAAAGTAACAGTGATTTTAAAATAGTATAGAATAAAATACTTCTGTATTTTTGCCAATAGGCAACAGAGCATGAGCTTTCCACCTGTAAACTGTTCAGCGTGAGGCCTGCTACCACTCAGAGACTGCATGTTTCTGGAAGGTGTTGATTATTTACATTCCTTTCTTTCAAACTTTATCCTGGAAGTGGTTTCCTGTAAATAGTTTGTAATGTAAAAATGAATGTATTTTCCTAATTGATGTCCATGCCCAGCCAAAAGCACAGAAAGGGACAAAGTTATTTTGTCAGTCTTGTCATAGGAATGTGTGGACAAGTATTCCTGCAGAAGTAAAATCTGTGGCTAAATAGAATAAACTTTACTATTAGAATAATAACTCAGCACAAGAAATCTGTCTAACTGGGCTTTCACAAAAGTTAACAAAAAAACCCCCCAACTTTTTAATGCTTCAAGTGGTGTTGCATTGTCATTATTAGGATATTTGGAACTAATACAAATGGAAGGATACTGTACTCTTTTCCAACTTCACCCCAAAAGCTACCACATTTCACCAACAAAAGTTTACTCTGATGTTTAGCAATACCTAAACTTGAAATTAAGTGATATATGTACATTAATGACAATACTGGAGCAGTATAGTGTCTACATGCCTCCTATGAAGTTGGGGTTTAACAGCCAAATACTTCGCTGTTCTCTTTCACTGTGATAAAAAGCAGCAAAAGCAGCTTTAGACCTTGATTGATGAGGAAGATACTTTTATGAATAAACTATTCCTACAGCTAGAAAATTATTGTGTTAGTAGAAATAGTACAAAACTACTGGTTTTAAATTGCCACTAGACTGCAGGCTATGGTTAGACCTGCGTTACACAATGTGACGTGGCTACCGTTGTCCCCTAATTTCCCAAGGGCTTTTTTTTTCTTTTTAAATCTATGTGACAGAAAACCATTAGTGGATGATGACATGGGTGTAATAACTTTCTATGTTGAATCTAATGAATTAGCAAGTGTGTCTTCCAGATGACTATGATACTACAGGTGATGTTAAGAGTTTTATTTTCAGTGCTGCTGAATATAACAAGACAAAGCCAAATAGGTAAGGGCAAACTCTCTAGGAAAGTATTGTTTCTAAAATGCCATAAAAACACAGAAAGAAAAAATTCTTTGTGATAGGAAACTGCTACTGTGTTAAAATAAGAGAGACCGAAACTAACATTTTTAAAAATGTTAAAGTTGCATTAGTTGAATTGTGTCGTAGGTTGATGTAAGTATTTCCCAGTAATTACCAAGTATTTGAAAGCAAACTACGCCTATAAAACTATGGGTAAGTTGTCACTTCTAACGCTTTACTCTGTATCAGTCTTGCATGACGCATGTGCCGTGGGTGTGGGGCAGGGAGAGAGCATACCTCATTCTTACAGAGGCTGGCTACGTAGTTAGAATGGGTAATACGTGAGTGAAGAGGCTGAGCTAGGAGGTGGTTGGGTTTTGAATGCGATCGTGATTGCTGAATTGCAAAATGCTGTTTTGCCACATCAGTACTGATGATAAGCAGTGGGAAGTGCATGGTCTCTGGGAGGATATGCCACAAGGAAATTTGACTCTTTTTTTGTGTGTCTGTGCTTATTTTCCCTGGAAGCTGGAAATGACCTCAAGAGGGCACCTTTTTGCTTTGGTAATGGCTACTTTATAGGAATTTTCTGTAGTGTATAGTGAAAGACTTCATAGCTTCTGGTGACAGAATGCAGCTTCTGTCTGCTTGTTTATATGCCAATTAATGACTTTGCTTTCTTTTTATTTCATTTTCTAATTGGGGGTGGGTGGGTGTCACAGGACTGCTTGCCTGTAACTTCTTTCCCTTTCGTCCTTGCACTATCGAAAGTAAACCTCATTTTAGTTACGCTGCCGTTTTATCCTTTGCCTGATGCAGCTCCTCTCTTAGGAGCAGCAGCATTTTGTGCGCAAGTGCTGAAGTTGATGTGGAATAGCTGAGTGCATGAATCACTCCCTATAGTAATGGATTTCTTGATGTAGTCACACCAGGTAACTGAAATGCTTTGTTTAGGGATTGCTCTAGGGAGACAAGATGTATGCAGAGCAATTTATTCACCACAGATACACTTCCTGTGGGAAATCTGTGGATGACTGATTGCCGCAATTGTTTCACTTGTGCCCCTTTAAGTTGGTATGGATTGTTTTAACTAAGCAAGCACATTAATAACTCCCATGGAGAAAAAAAAAGAGACAATCACAACTAACTTAAATATCAAAAGATGAATTCAGCAAACATAAAACTTTACAACAGTGTTTCTATGTAAACAAAAATGTCAAGAGTTATAGTGTTAAAGAGTTCTTTATACTCCCTGGGTTTAACAGACGAGTAAAAAGACATTTCCTGACTGTATGGAAAAATGTATTTTGAATTCAAAATTTTGAAATGTTATCAATGCATTGTTTTGAGTTTGGTCAGTTTTGGGTATTAAACGTCTTGTGCGGAAAAGAAACAACCAGAAAAGTTCAAACATTTCTTCCTCTAAATCCAGAGAGAGGTAAAAATTCTGCATTTTCTAAGTAGTAGTATATGATAAATATATTATACAACGGCATGTACTTTGGAACATGATAATAAATATTCTTTCTTTCAACACAAGCCTGGAAAACTAGAATTTATAAGAAGAAAATGTTGTTCCTTGTAAAAGTATCACTACCAGTTAGGTGTATTTAGCTATTGTACATTATTTTGTTAAAGTAGAGAAACCATAAATAATTTGAGCTTTTTGTGTATATTCACCAAAGTTAAACAGATATGCGAAGGAAGTTACAGTATATTTAAATCTCTTTACAATCACTTAACACAGTGTTTAACAGAAATCGTCAGGTAAAAGTGCATTATTTTAATATAATACACATAAAAGAACACTCTGGTTCTCTGCCTTCAGTTCTCTGCCTTCTGGCAACTAGCTAAAATTATCTTTTGTTTAAAAAGGGGGGGGGTGATGACACATGTTTGTTTACAACATACAGTCCAAGACAACTTCTTCATCCGCCCATTGAGAATCTGCAGATGTGAAGATACGGGAAGAGGAGAATCTTCCGATAGCTGACAGGCATCTTTCCAATCTACAACATCCCACTTAGGATTCCCAGATTCTGGATGTTAATCCAGCAGTATTGCCTGGATTAAGCATCTATAGCACAGGGCACATGCTGACCAGTTCAGACCGCAGCAGGTTCTTCCAAAGGCACTGCAGAAGGATTCAGTGATGTAAATTCCAGTTTTCAAAAAAAATGAAAGAACAAATGCAGAAGAAGAGGGAATATGACCGGGATCTTTCCATAATTTACTTTGCCTTTCTTTAATTCAGATTGCTTTGAGGATTTAGGGTTTTTATAGTAGCCTAGAGATAAGGTGTCAAATTTGTCCCTTCATATTTGAAATATTTTGCAAATGAAAATATTGCTTGAATTCTGTTAATATAATGATTTAGCAGTAGTATGACAGTGCATGTCAAATAATGCTTTAATAATTAGGTGTATGTGGAAAGAAGAATGTAATATTAAATTGGCCACGTGAGATGGGATTATCAACACTGAGAAAGATTGCTTCTTCATTTGCAATGAGCTGTAACTTCTCAGATGATATCTCAGTGCTGTAGTAGCACTGTGCAAATATCTGGTTAGTGTACATCGGTGGACAAGTTACACGTACTATCTTCATATAAACGGGCCAGCCTTGCCTTGTGTATTTCATTTGTTGTTTTAAATCAAGCAAGATGGAAGAAATTGAAGAGGTACAGAATAAACATTTCTGGCAAAATTTCCACAGAGAGAAATTAACACTATATATTTGTTTTAGCTAAAAAGGAGATCGTCAGTCCTGGTGATTTTATTATATGCATGTAATGAAAAATAACAAAAGCTCTGCTGGATACTTCTATTTACTTTGGCCAAGAGCAAAAGAGTAACAGGACATCGTTAATTAAACACAGTTAGTTGATAAAAATGCATACTATAAAATCAACCAGGATGCAATATTTTGGTTTTGTTTTTCAAATGGGCAAAGAAAGTGGGTAAAGCTCCAGTCTTCACACCATTCTGATTTACTCTGCAAATGCCATAATAAATAACTGGAGACGTTGCTGACCTTATTGTGCCTGCGCACACCAACGCCTCAGGCTTTTATGGATCTTTCTGTCAGTCCCTTGTACCTCACTATGGTTTAACCAACTACAACTTTGAAAAAAATGCTCTGTAAGTCCTGTATTAAACGATTGCTCAGAGTTAGGATCACTATCTCATACCTGAACAGACCGCACTGTAGGCAGTGGTGGTTATTATTCCATAATGTCGCTAAAAGTCAGACTGCCCGCAGACCTTTCGTCCTTGCTCTGTGGACTGTCGGGCAAGACCTGCAGAGGTGGCGATATGAATCCCCGATACTGCTTACTTGACTTGGTTAACTTCTTGAGTTCACTGGTAAAGGAGATGCCTTTTCTTTTGTCATCTCGTGCTGCCTGTAACAAAAATAAATCGGATCACAGAAGTGGTTTAACAGGCTGTTCGTTAGCTGTGAAATAGGGAATTAATATGAAACCACCTAACATATTTCTAAGCAGGTCTCCCTTTTGAAATTCGGTGCGGCTGTGCTTTCATAGCCCAGCACGTCCTTCTGATTGTTCTGAATAAATTAATTGAAAATTATGCATTGTCAAAGACATGTTTAGCAAATTTGGTATAAACTTGTATAAAAATCTGTGCTTATGACACAGTTACTTTAAAGCAACAACTGCTGTGGATTGGTGGCATCTGCTGGAAAGGAGAACGCGGCTCCTACTCCCAGCAGGCAAGTACTGCATCCCTGCCATCTTCCAAAGCCTGAGATAAAGCAACAGAGCAACTTTTTCACTGGGCAGGAATAAAGGGGACTGTATTCCAGTAGTTTTTAAGTTCTGCCCATTTGAATAGTCCTGCTTTGCTATGATAGGGAGCAGGGCATGCACAGCCAGAAGATTTTGAAAAACAGAAAGCTGGTAGCAAAAGACAAAGGCTGTCACAGGATTTGCAGGCTGTGCGGGAACCGTGTTGCTGGATGTAACTGATGCAATTTTGCAAAGAAGAAAGTAAGGGAGGTGCGGAGAAAAGAAGAACCTGCTTTTTGCTGTAGTCTCTTCTCCCCATTGAGCCTCGTGCCAGTCGTGTCTCCCTCCCATTGAAAATACGTTCCCATTGAGCTGATACACCATCCATAAAACCTGCTGCAAAGTATTTAATCTTTTACCTGAACCTGTTCTTTGAGTTTAAGGATAAATTTTCCTGCTCCCTTCCACTTGCTTTGAGCCTGAAACACACACTCTTGATCAGAGAGAATCCTCTGAGATGGTTTAGATGTTGAGGACTTTTTGTTTGCCGGCTCTTTCGTCACCTCTTCCAAGAGCACATAGTCACTTGGATTTGGATTGCTCAAAATGCTGTAGGAGTATTTGGCTTTGCAAAGGGTCTGTTTAGAAGCAGAAAAAAAAAAAAAAAAGACAAAGAAGAAGGCATTCCCTCAGGTTCAGGTTACTAAACTGATTCCTCAGCTAGTGGTGAGAACAAACCCCACCGTATCTTGTGTGAAACCAACCTCCACCCTACGCATGACAGACCTACGCAATGCAAACCCGCTCCTTACCTGCTGTATGACATCCTGAGCTGTGCTGAAGCGGGGAGCTTTGATGACGGTGCGTGGCTGCTCTGGGGAGACATCATGTACCTGAACAAAGAAACTGTCATCCTCGGAGCTGATGGCTGCATCTTCCTTTGCTTCTTGAAAGACATTTCTCTCGTTTAAATTCTGTAGAAAAAAGGAGAGCCAAAATAATTTACTTCAGAGACGTAACTAATAGCAGGTGGTCACAAAAGGTTTTTATCACATGAAAATCGGACAGTGTGCTGTTGCCCCAGCTCCATTTCATTAAATGCAAGTCTTCTATGTAGGAGTTTTGACAAGCCGCTATTGCTAATAATAAATACCTGTGTTTCTAAAATCAGTGTCTGAAATACCTTTTGTAGTAGGCAAGGAATGGAGACATATGCATAGTACCACATTATGCAAAAATGAACACTCAAATCCTTTATTTCCTTATGTATGCAAAATTATGTTTTGTCATGTAATGCTGGCATTAAGATGGGAGATGGTGGAAAGTGTCCTTTTCTCTCCTTGTCCCTGCACTAAAGCCAAAAGAATTCAGAGAGCAAGAAGTCTGAGCGAATGTTTTCCTGTGGAGCAAGAGGAAGGCTGCTTCTCTGTCCTTTTTCAGGCTCTCTGACTACTGCAGATGTTAGACAGAATTCCTCCCTGCACCTTCTCTCAGGTAATGCATTTCTCTCCAACCCCTTCTAACACAGTGTGAATCCACCAGCTGTAAACATGGGCTGCGTATCACACCCTACAGGTGGACCCGCTCCCTGGTTTTCCATGCAAATTTGCAGCTTCATTTCTAGCTCCAAGATCTGAGGCTGCTATCTGCAGAAAGGCTCAAAATTGCAGATAATGCTTTGAGGTACTAGCATCACAGGACAAAACTACAGCCTAATTTTCACATACGCTAAGAGAGATTTTAACCCATGCTTTCTGAAAGAATGGGGTTTGGCAGTGACACATTTGTGGTCGCATACGCTTACAAACTAAGCGTTGCAGGCAACTGAATTAAGTAGGCTACTATTTCCACAAGCGAATTTCTACTAAATAGTTTTTGCTCCAACTATTAGAAATAAGGGAAAACAAAACACTGATTTGTGTAACACAATTTTGTCAAATGGAGGTTTTATCATAAGTTGTGTCAAAATAATCAGTTAACAATATATTTTTTCATTTTAAGGGATCCCAGAGGATGTCTGTCATTTGTGTATGTAAAATCTGTGTATATAAACATACGTGTACATATATTACTACGTTCAGGCTAAGCAAACGTTATTATATGCTGAACTGCCTGAAGGAAGTGCCTCTGAAGATGAGATCATTAAGTGTCTTTCTCCTGCTTTCTTCTTTCTCTCTCACACCTGGGCACTTGCATATTTTCAAGCTGTGGATGTTTTGCTCATAGTTTAAACGGAAGTAATTGCTCCATCTTCCTCCTTTAAACTTAAAGAACTCAACTATTTCGTTATTTTAGGCTATCGTTGATAATTTAATCAGCCTTTGAGGTTTTTAGAGTTCTTTAATATTAAAATCCTTTCTAATTTTTCTGAACAGAGAAGTTGCTGACATCTAAACTGATTGATAATTGTAGTCTGGAGTTCTGTTATGTACGATCCTTTGGTATTAACTATTATCCTTCTTTATATTAATTTCCTATCACATCAAAATCTAGATTTACATTAAATTAGAACTATCAGGCGAAACAGTAAGCTAGTGGCATTGAGCTGTTGCGATAACGATTAAACACCACATAGCTGATCCTGGAGCTGAGTGAAGTCAAGTTAGTGTCGCACAGGTGTGCAACGTCCAGTTGTGCTCACTCCAGAGTCATGTTTGTTTTTAAATGAGGTACACAGCATTGACATTACTCACCAAGTAGCGCAACAAGTACTGCACCCTTTTGTTTCCCGGTGCTAACAGCTATTTTTAGCTACCTTTGTAAATAACAATTTATCTAGAACAGACTTACTTCCTCTCGGGTTTTAAAGATGATCCTTCCAACATATCCTTCTTCTGGGAACCAACTGTTCAAAAGCTGCACTAGCCCTTCTTCAGGACCAATCACTCTCTGGAATGGTGGTTTTCTGCATTCACTCTTTTCTTTGGATATAAAACTTTTCTCTTCCATCAGAAAATAGTCTGCAGCACATGACTCGGTGCCTTTTGTAGTAGCCAAGAGCTAAAACAGACCACAATAAACACACAGCAATTAGAATGCTAAATATAAACACTGCATAATTGGCGGTTATAAATGAGAATGAATAAAGAAGCTTTAAGAATCAATAAGTATTCTGATAGTGTAGGCAAGATTTCTGATGTGCTATTTATTATTCAGATATTTTACTCCAGGGTAATGTACTGTTCTCTTTAGCCTAGCCAAGCAGTTCAACTATTCCAGACAAGGCAGTACTATTTAAGCTTATTTCTGTCCTGTTTGGCTGGCCAGACAATTTATTCATAATCCCAGGACAGTACAGTCTTTTCCCACTGCTAGAATAACAATCCCTGTTGAGTTAACTGGTTTTTCTACTCATGAACTTAGCCCTCTCACTTTTACTCTGTATTCCTATGGTGCTCAAGTTCAAAGAATTGCGCAGAAATGTTTGCCCTTGTTGTAAGGGCAGCCCACTGCCTCCGTCAGTCAGAAAGATTGTTTTTCTCATCTGCATATGCCCAAATATTAAAATACTAATAGGGAGTATGTTCTAAGGTTATAAACCCATTCTCTGAAGCCAAGATTGGGAAAATTTCACGGATGATAGTCTGAGTTTGCAATGCAATTAATTCCACAGTAGTAAGTTTCTAAAGCACCCCCTTGCTGTGATGAACGACCTAGAATGACCCTGAGAAATGCAGGGAGATCAATGTCCAGAATTATGTCAGTGCGGGTTCTGGCAATTAGAGTCTGCAATTCAGCAGGCAACTTACCTGATGGAGAAGCTGTGCGGCCGTGGTCCCCCCGCTTACATTAAAAACAGTGAAAGGCTCCGGGCCTGGAATTCCATGAATTGTCACTTTGTAAGTCACAGCAGCTTTCCTTTCCCCCATGCTAAACGACTGTTCAGACAACATTCAACAGGTTACTGAATGTTTTTACACAGGCATGTTATTTTTAGGTTGCTTAAAAGAAACTGTACGCACAAGTTGTAAGGACCTTGACAGAGCAAAGCTATCCAGCTAATACATGTCTCTTACAGTACAGATCAAGGCATTAAAAGAAACCCCCAAGAAACCAACCCCCCAGAAGACCCCACCCCACCCTACCTTGAAGCTGAAGAGAAAGGAGGAGGAAGTTTTCCAGTGATAGTACATAAACTGCCACTGAACAAAGGGCAGACCTCCATCGCTCGCCATCTGCATTCTAGCTGAGCTCAGACTATTTGGATTCAGCGTACGAATGACTGGATGAAAATCTATAGCTTCGTTTTACCCTCCAAATGTAATGTTCTTCCTTTCTGCCCTAGTAATTCACCAAGATATGCGTTTGGCATGTATTCACAGGAGGATAACGTCTGCAACACATCTGCTGCACAGACAGTAGCTCAGGAGGTTTTATCTAACGCTTTAGGAATCAGCAAAATGATAATATACGTGCTTAAAGTCACTAAAACACAAGTAACCCAGGTAACCTAACATTAAGGGCTATTTAAAAAAAAATAATCACATACATACCTATGTATTGTTATATGTATACTACATACATATCTATATGTGTATGTATACATACTTGTGCATGTAAGCATATAGATGTGCACACACACACATATATAAATATGTATGTATTTATGCAAATACAGACTCCATCTTTTCCTGTAACAGAATTCAATTTTACTCTCATTATTCCAAAGTTGTTGCTAATTTGCATCTTTCTTTTTTTTGTCCCAAATGCATTGCTTATGATTCATGCATGAAGGAATGCATGAGGCAGCTCTGAACCTTCCTGCTCAGCCACACTCCTCCTCCAGCACAGGAGTTCTCGTGCTGTACCTAAATACACCGAAAGCCAGACTTTGAGAAGATTTACCCTCCCACAGTTTCAGCCAGATGGGAGAACCTTACTTCCACCAAAGCCCAAAAGAATTAGGCACCGAGGTACTTCTGAAAAATGTGAGGGTTTAGGGGCTAACATCTTTGAACAGTCTGGGTCTAGAAGTCTTCAGACCATAGTTGTCATTAAGACAGGAATACATAGCATTTACAAAAAAAACAATTAAATTACCACAGATGCAGGCATAGTGTTTCCAGAGGGACTTTCTTCCATTCTCCGACTGTTTATGAACAAACTAGAAATTTCTAATGCTTCATTGTGCAGGTTATGGAGCTGGACGTGTCTATAGCCTAAAGAGAAAAAACCCTTCTGTAAGTACTTTGCCACATCCTAGGACACAAGTCTCATAAATGGAAAACTCAAATTTGCTATATTTATAGCTACAATTTTCCACACCTATAGGATTTAAAGCATTGTAATAACACTGCATTAACACTCTCTGTCTGTACAATAGTGTAACCCAAATGCTATGAACTGCTGAGTGGCTCATACAGCTGCCTACCTTTGTTTTGCCGTAATATTCATTATATTCATACATGAAATAGCTAAATATTAGAAAATGAATGAAACAAGGACAAATTCTCACCAGGAAAATGCATGTCTATGGCCAGATCTCATATGCTAAGACTGTTGTGTAGTATTACAGTGGCACAAAGCGAATGTGAAAAGTATTTTTACTATTCTGCTGAAGAGCTGCTGGCAATATGGAAACTCCCTCCCCCAGGTGTCACAGAATTAATGATGCTGCCTCATCTCCCTCACCTTTTTTCACCCTTCCTTTGCCTCTCCTCCAGCCATGGCTGCAAGAAGTGCAATTCCCCTCTGCCCAGTGATCACCAGTTACAGCAGTTTCTTGGGCAAAGGACAAGGCAGGGAGTGAAACCACTCCATGCTTCCTAAGGGAGCAGCAAGTCTCAAGGTGAACCCAACCTCACAGCCACAGCTCAGGATCGGAGCAACTGCGTACAAGATGCCCCAGTCTCTGCAACAGCACAGGATCTGACTTTTTACAAGTCACTGGGGCAGCCTCCAGCTCCCGGGGAGTCGATTAGATCAACATCGTACTGCCAGGGCAAAGTATGTTGTCTGATATTTGCTCCCTGTCTCCTCCAGAAAAACGCAACCAGCTGATTAAAAATATCCCTCCGTCAGGATTCAGTCCAGGAATCTGCTGGACCATTTTGGCATAGGGTGTCGCTACAAACTATACTCTACCTCTTTTTAGAGCTTTTAGGGGAATGATTCTCTGAGCTGTTACAGCTGAGCTGTTATTTTCAACAACTGCGAACCGAAGAAAGACCAAATCTTCGAAGTGAACCCGGAAAAGGAACTGCTCGTTCCACATGGGGTTGAGAGTGTTGCGATGAATGGGCTTCGTGCGGAAATGGCAGCTGTCCAGAGGCATCCCCAGCACATCGATTTCAATGCAGGGACTGCCCGTGCTATTGCTGGGGCAGACGTTCTGTCCGGACACAATCTGAAGCCGAGGCGGACACAGAGAAACCAATTAGTGGAGTAATTCTTTTACCGTCACGATTCTGAGCTAAACATTGTTTATCACACTCCTACGGACAGTTTGTTAACATGCTGATTTAATTACAACATTCCCCTACTTTTGTAATTGCCAGGGCAGTCATTTCAGAAGCAAAGCTGCTTCAACCTCCCCCCCTCCATGCTGTTGCTACAGTGTCTTTCCTCTGAAAAAAATACACTATACATCATGAGCGCAACCATTCAAGGCATCTGAAAGTTAATCCAGAAGGAATGTACCAGTAACATAGTCAAAAAGGATCAAATTTTGTTCTCCATTACTTTGGGGTGATGGCACTGACCTTGGGCTTGCTTTGGCGTACACAACACAAGAATTAGGTGTGCAATTACCGCAGCTGGGAGAATTTTGATTCTTATGAATCTCACTTTTCTGAAACATTTCCTGGAAGGGACCAGCTTCTCAGAACACTTTTTTTTTTGGCCATAAATCCGTGAATGATATATCTTATTACTTAACTTTTAAAACAACATTTTTTAATATTCAGTACAGCTTTTCATAATGGCTTTTTGTATAGCTTCTCAAGTGTTCACAGATGTGTGAAACATCCAGGCACATGTATAATTTTATACAGTTCTGTAGTCCCAGGGAAAATGCTTTCAGGACTGGGTTTTGACAAATATTGTAAAGGAAACAGTGAAAGTAACTATGGATACAAACCAGCCAATAAAATAAAATAAAATAAAGACAAGTATTTGCTCCTTCCCCTTCCAATTTCTTTTAGTTATGCTGACCTTCAGAAATACAAGCAACAATTACATGTTCAAATCTTTTCATACAGAAGCATGACTGTAATGCTGGTTAAAGACTATAGTTAAACATTGTCTACTTCTATCTGTTTGGCTGTATGAAATTCCCTTTTAACATACTTACTGTTAAAGAATATATAGCTGGCTCCTTATTATCAAGATCTCTTTCTAACGGAGAAAACTGCTGGTACATGGAACAATTTTTATCCCACAGAACAGGAGGTTTCAAAACATATCCACAGCCACCATTAGCCTCAAACATCGCCGCATTAAGTTGCAGAGGAAGATCTGTGAAAGTAAGGCAGCCAAAACTGAGAAAGAGCAACGGTACAACGGAAAAACTGTAACAGTGAAGACAAAGACACGTTTTAAGGATATTTTTTTCTTTTTTTAGTTGTGTACTATCAATTCATACTTGATTTTCAAAGATAGCTGTAATTTATGTATCCAATCTATCCAATACTTCATTACACAAAACTATAAGAACAGTTCATTGTTTTCTATCCCTTTCTGTTGTCTTTCTGCAACTGTAGGGCTTGCCTACATCTATCCTCTGAGAAGTTTCCAGGTATTTGCCCTGAACTGCAGAATGAAAAAGCACTGATTGTGTAGCTCTGTAGATGACCTAATGGATCCCCCATCGAAAAGGCGAAGGAACACAAGATAGGATAGAAAATGGCCCAAAAACATTTTGATCAACATTAAACCAGCATCCAAGGTGGCACTTCTAAGTAAAAAATAGTTCAGTACCTTTTCATACTTGAAATTACCAGAAAGGGATAACAGCTACTTGAACTGGGGAAAAAAACCAACCTTCAGCAATAAAATAAAAATAAAAATAAAAATAAAAATAAAAAAAAAAATAAAAAAAAATGGAAGGGGTTGCTGTCCACCCACTTCTGGGTCTTC